TACTTAGATTTTCTACTTTTTCTATCACAACATCAATCACATTATATGAATCATCATGTTTTGTGTATCTATCAATTTTAGCAATGCAAAATACTTAAGAGTGGATGCAATCCTTAGCAATTAACATATGTATCAAATATTTAACTAGCTATGTCTAGCAAGTTTGCAAAAAGCATTTAGTATATAAAGAAGCCCTTTATGAGAATAGACATTTCTAGATAAAGTTAGAATTTTATATTCTGGATTGAGGAAGGCAGTTTATTCCCAGAGATTAGGAAGATCCACTCAGAAAAAAGAGGAGAGAGGTGCAGATGGACAGAGCAAACTTAATAAGATATAAATAGTCAAGGGAAAAAATGGCAGAGATCCAAAGTAATGCAATAGATAACCATATTGAGTTTTCTCATTTATGTTCCCAAGAATGTTATTTATGTCTAACTCTGTCTTGTTGTTTTGAAAAGGAGCATATACTGGAGAGCTTCTCTCACCTGCTGGTTCCTCAGGGTGTAAATGTGATATACCTAGCCTAGTTCTCTCTTTAGATCAGAAGCCAGCTTGTCACAAGTTATGAAGGATTCATTTCTGTTTTCTGTAAAAATATTAGGATGTCTATATGGCCTGTCCATTAGTTGATGTTGTAAAGCTGATTGGAATGCCTGCCCGTGCCCTGAACTCACCCATGCCCAGTTTTCCCTGACCAGATAACAACCCTTTCCTAAACCTTAGTGACGCTTCATAAATTCTGGCCTTCCCTGGCCAGATAACAACCCTCTCTGAGTCTCTAAGACCTCCATAAATTCTGATGTCGGGGTCAGCAAAAATGTAAACTTGTGTTATGCTCCTCAGAGTTTTGTTATCTGTAACCCCCCCTTGTGTAACTTTTGGGGCTATACAACTGGGCTGCAAGGAAGCTTCGCCGCTGTCCTTGGCTCCCACGATTTTGATGGGAAAGGCAGCCTGGCCGGTCGAAATAATAAGCTTGATTTAATTTGATTTTAATTGGAGTCAGAGGTCTTTTCTTGCGTCATGGTCTAACAAATAAAAGGTTTGAGTAAAGGGGCAACAGAGGTATTGAGCACAGCTACACCTTTAATTAAAGTCACCCTTTCTTTTGCTGATGGTTTCATATACATAAATATACAGCTCCCATAAGTGATAAAGACAACAGGTGGAAAAAGCCTCATTCCTTGTTGACCAGAAAGGAATTTGAGAATGATTTTGATGTTGAATGTGTAGGAGAGGACCACTAAAAACAATGTGAGGGCAAGTGTCATCACAGCTAAAACAAAAGCCATCAATTCTATGAAACGTGTATCTGTACAAGAGATCTGCAGGATGGGAGAAATGTCACACAGGAAATGATCAATCACTTTGGAAGCACAGAAATCCAGTTTGAGTCCCAGGAGCAAAGGAGGAAAGATGATTAAGAATCTAGCTGCCCAGGAGCTTAGCACCAGTAGGTAGCACACTCTGCTGTTCATAATGACTGGGTAATGCAGAGGTTTGCAGATGGCGACATAGTGGTCATAGAACATGGCAGCCAGGAGGTAAAACTCTGTAGCCCTTAATAGGAAAAAAAAAAAAAAAAGAATAATTGAGTTGCACAATAATTGTAGGAAATTGTTCTGTCCCCAGTGAGAACCCTTATCAGGAACCATGGGATGCAGACTGTTATAAACAAAACTTCTAAGAAGGAAAAATTTCGGAGGAAGAAATATATAGGAGTCTTAAGGCAGGGATCCAGCAGGGAAAGGAGGATGATGACTAAGATCCCCATCAGGCTCAAGATATAATTGAAAAATAGAAAGAGGAAAATCATAATCTATAGCAGAGGGTCATCTGTGAGTCCAAGCAAAATGAATTCTATCTCCACTGATTGATTCTTCATTTCTCTTTTGTCCTATAAAATTACAGAAAATAAAAACTAGTATCACAAGAAATGATGTCTTCCTTTTCAGCTATATGAAGTTTCATTTTCAGAAACTTACCGATCACAAGTATTTCTCAAATAGCTTAGAGTTCATCACAATGAAAATAACTTCTACTCCACTCATCATCTTTATTAGAACACTGAGAAATCCTTCCCTTGTCCAAATCAAAGTAGGTCCTATTTACGAGTTTATAGGACACTTAATAGTCATTTGAAATGTAGCTCCTCAGTTTGATTCATGTTAATCTATGACCAATCTTTCAAATGCTTTATCATAATAGGCTGATCAAACATTTAAGTTGTTTTTGTTTGTTTGTTTTGTACCAAGAATTGAACTCAGGGTCACTTAACCACAGAGCCTCACCCCCAGGCCTTTCCTGTATTTTATTTAGACACAGGGTCTCACTGAGTTGCTTAGGGCCTCACTAAGTTACCGAGGCTGGCTTGGAATTGAGGTCTTCCTATTTCAACTTGCTGAGCCAATGGAATTATAGGCACGCACCATCACACCTAGCTTGATATATTTTTTTTTTGAATATAGCTAATATTCAAGTGACACAAAGGTTATAAGAAATAGTTTTCTTCCCAGTATCCATAATACCTAAAAATTAAGGGATACATGTGATAGTATAGGAAATTTATAAAAAGGAAAAAATATATGAGTTTCTGATGAGCATTCAGCAGGGTGAGTTCAGGAATGATCAGATCAAAGCAGTGCTTAAATAATTGAGAAACAGGAAGATAAATAACACAATTTTCAAATGTGGGTCATCATTTGAACCCACTATGATGAACATTGTCACTTATGGTTTTCCATTACCATCCTCTGTCTTTTTTCAGGTTTAAATGATGAGGGTTAGGGAGAATCTCTGTCTAATAAGAGTGATATCTAGTGCTTAAGTTAGAGCTAGCAAAATTATGTTTCAGGCAGAGTTATGGAATGCTCATTCATGTTTTATAGGTAGTGTGCTGCTAAGGAAAATAGTTTGTATTTCCAGAATACCTTGATGGTAAAATTAAAACTTCATATATTCTAGCAAAATTATAAATGTAGTAGTATTATTTTATGAATATTTGGAAGATCCATAAAATTTGAATAATGTACATTTTTATATAATATATAAAAGTTGAGATGGTATATATAAATTCATATATTTGCATTAAAAAGTAGATACAAATGCAGGATTGCAAAAATATTGAGTTCTTGCAGGCCTTTTTTTGTTGATGTAATCTCTGATGAGTATGTGTAGTCTTCATATAGAGGAACAAACTGAGCTTCTGTTCATGGAGCAATAACTACCCCTAGTCAGCCAGCACTAATTATTTATAATGCTAGTAATGAACATATACACCATCTGAAAACACGGTCTGTTGGGCTTTTGCTACTTCTCTATCATTGAATGGAATTATATTTCCCAGGAGATCCATCTATAACTAAAAAACATATTTTTAAAAAATGCATGCTATACTGTAGTCATGTGATCCTTTTACAATTATTTTTTTCATGTCATAAAAATAAATATTTTCCTTTTTTGGTAGGGATTGTGAGCCTTTTATTCAATATATTTGAAAATTATGTATTCAGTATCACTTATTTACTAGGTTTTATATACACTCACATGGACATGAAAAAAAAAAGCATTTGTCTTTATGGCAGATATTAAATGTACAATATAAACAAAACTTAAGGAATATTGGTGCACAGCAGGGAGACCTCTGGTCAGTAGAGCAGACAGGAGAGACAATTCCTCTAGACTTGGTTTGTAGGCTGTGTGGTGGGGACAGGAAGAATAGTTATGTTTAAATGGATAACATTTAAGTTGAGAGATAAATAAAGAATAAAATTTAGAAGAAGAGGAAAAGAACTTTTTGTTTTTAAACAGAGACAACAGTAAGTGTAAAGCCTTTGTGATGCCAGGAGACTCCAAGGATAACAACCTAGCCTGCATCCCAGAGACAGGAGAAAATTCAACGTGAAAAGTTATTTAATAATTGTGTGGACTCTTTTGAAAGAAGTTAATAGGCATTTTGTGTTCAAATTCATAAGATTTTTAGGGCATGAAAAAGTTTATTACTTTATGATCATTTATTTGAACTGACTTTTAATAAATTATCTGAGATTCCACATATATTGCTGACTTTTTCTTGTTTCTATTAAAATGATGTTTCCATGATGTGCAAAAGTTTATTGCTTTATTTAGCTACATTTGACTTAAAATATTCATATTCCATTTTTGCATTTGAATGTTTTCTCCATTCTTAGTAACTTAATTCTAAAGCTGTAGTTAACATTTTGACATTGTAATTATAATTTCATATCCTACTAGAAAAGAACTTTTTTCTCATCTTAATTATTAGTCTCTATAATTTATGAATATTTTAATTTTAAAATTTCAGCATTTTATATGTATGCAAATATTACATACATAGGAATAAACTTTAGGATCCTAAATATCAAATCTACTTTTATTTAAAACATATTTATTAGGATATGCATTTATTTTAATTTTCTTTATTTTTTAATTATATCATGTCCTTTATTGATAATGGTGATTTGAAAAAATCTTTAGTTATAGAGGATTATTAGTGAACTAAATAAATTGAAGGATATTATAATTTTTTTTTTCTTTTTGGGTACCAAGAGCTAGGTACTCAAAAAAAAATTTTTTTAACCATCTAGCATCATTTAGAGTGGAAGAGAAACTGAGAAATCTATATGAATTATTTTCTTGGAAGTACAGATGCATACAAGCTAAGCTATTTATTTCCTTGTTGGGTTTTGCTTTTGTCTTATTTTGTTTTATTTTTTCTTTCTTTCTTTCTTTTCCCCCCTAGATTAAAAGTAATGAACCAGGTTTACATGAACTCCAAAAACACTATCATTTCTTTAGATTGGAAACTTAGCTTTAAAAAGGTTTATTTGAAGGGGGATTAAAGGACTGAATTTATGTTTTGGAGACTGTTCTGAGTGCAAGAAATGTTTGAGAAGATTTACCTGAATAGAAATCAGATCAAGCAGATTTAAACAGATGTGGTGTTTAATGGTTTGTGCTTAGTTAATATTTTATTTCTATATTTGACCACCTTCTTTCCTCTTTGAGATTAAAGCAAGTTTTTTTAAGGAATCACTGAAAGCTTGTCTCACCTGTTTGTTTCTCGGAGTGTAAATGAATGGGTTCAGCATGGGAGCAATGGATGTCATTAGCACTGTCACACCCTTATTGATAGCCACAGATTCCTTTGCTGAAGGTTTGACATAGATGAAGATACAGCTTCCATAGGTGATGGACACCACAATCATGTGAGAAGAACAAGTGGAAAAAGCCCTTTTTCTTTGCTGGGCAGAGGGGAATCCTAGAATGGTCTTGATGATGTATATGTAGGACAGAACAACGCACACAAGGGTCAGAATGAAGGTCAGCACGGCACAAACAATCACTAACTGCTCTATGAGCCATGTGTCCGAGCATGAAATCTTCAAGATAGGAGATGCATCACAGAAAAAATAATCAATAACATTTGAATCACAAAATTTCAAATTTAGGAAGAGAGTAAGTGGTGGGAGTATTATCAACAAACCAGCCATCCAACAGCAGAGGACAAGCTTCCTGCAGACTCTGTGGCTCATGATGGTGACATAATGCAGGGGTTTGCAGATGGCCACATAACGATCATAGGACATGACGGCCAGAAGAAAAAATTCTATTACTCCAAAGATGTCAGTAAAAAACACTTGAACGACACAAATATTATAAGTAATGGACCTGTCACCGGTTACTATGTTGTATAAATACCTAGGGATACAAGCAGATGTAAATGAAATTTCTAATAGGGCAAAATTTTGTAGGAAAAAGTACATGGGTGTTTTAAGGTGGGAGTCCAATAAAGTGAGGGATATGATGGTCAGATTCCCAGTTATACTCAACATGTAAGTGAGAAATAGAAACACAAAAATTGGAATCTGAAGTTGAGGGTCATCTGTTAGTCCCAACAGAATGAAAGTTGTTATTGTATAGTTTTTCATCACTAACTACTTTTATTTAGTCAATCTTCATGTAAAATTTAGAGCTATTTTATTTAACAAGAGTGACATGAAAGCCAGACAGATATAGTCACTACTGGAGACAGAAAACTAATGTACATGTAGTTTCTTCTGTAAGTTGTAATTGATGTTGTCAATACCCTGATAGGCGGGACGACTACTTTTATTTTATATTTGTAATCTATGTCCAACTGGATTGTTTCATGTTGTTGGCTTTGGCTCACAATGTCTTGTGATTCAATAAAATTATGAATTCTTTTTATCTCTAAGATTTCTTCTGTTTTTTAAAATGGATATTTAAATGTAAGTATTTTTTCTAGCCTTTTCATAGAATATTTGATCCTTGATAAAATGTAAATATATAGCATCTCATCTGGACTCCATGCACAAGTTTGTCAGTCCACTATGACTTGCATTTCGTGTTTTGCCAGCTATGATCAAGCCTGTGTGTATGTAGTTTGTTTTGTATTTTAAAATGTAACTACCACATTGTTGGCTCACTCCTTTGATTTTCCTTACATTTCTCTGATCGTGTGTAATTTATATACAGTATCTACTGGGATGCACATGTGACTACAAATGAAGAAATGTTTGATCCAAGGATATACATCTGGAAAAATAAAACATATTACTTACATACTTTCAGTCTGTTAACGATGGAAAATACTCTAACACCTTGATAACACTAGAGTCAAGTACAAAATCAAATTCCAAATACTAAATAAGCTCTCCACAGTCTGCCTGTGTACATCTACTTATTGTGATTTTCAGTTTCAGCATCTGCTCTATTGGACAGACTTCTAAAAATCTGCAGTCTGTGTTAACTGCTCATTTTTGCACCTGTGACAAGCAATTTTTACTTTGACTTTAGTATTTCCCCTGAGAAACTAAGTTTGTTGAAATTAGGATGTTATGTGGGTTTTTTGCTTAAACTAGAATATCTCCCAAACTAACACAATCCTAGATTTATGATTAGTGTGTTTAAGAAATATTGTGTGAATAGATACATATCTATATAGTTTGCCTACATGTTCAAAGCTAGCTTCAGTTCTATTTGGGTTTCCTCTTGAAAGTACTTTGTCACTGATGTTAATTATTTAAATTTCATATGTTCCTGTTTTTGACATTTATTTTCGTTGCTAGTGAATAAAGTCATACCATGAAAGTATCACTCCTGTGCTTATGTTGTTATGTTCCATGCCAACCAAACTGTTCACTGGCGTCTCTTCCTTGTTTTAGCTCTTCAACAGATATCTTTGTTAGATTTTTGCTTTCTTGGAGAATCTGTCAGTAATGTATTCAAATCAGAAGTCAAGAAATTTGCATATCTGAAAACACAATTTTACATGCTAGTCATCTTAAAAATGAATATTTTAAATATTTAAAATAAGTATTTTTACATCTCAATAAATGCAATGAATTCTAATTTCAAACCATTTAATTTCTGTTATCAGTTTATAAACTTCTCTTTAGTTTTTTAAATTCTTATTATTTCAAAATTTCACCTATGTTAAAATAAATTTATGAATATACCACAAATTTTAAACTAATTCCTAACATGATATTATACATCTATTTGTTTTCTACAATTGTTAAGATGTCTGAAAAAGCATGTTTAGAAACATTGCACAATTTTATAATTATCAGAAATGTAATTTCAAATATATATTTGCATGTGTACACACACACACACACACACACACACACACATATATATATATATATATGTATATATAAAACCTTTGTTGTATCATCTATAAACTTCATAACACTTATTTCCTTTAACTCACATGTGACTGTTATAGTTCCAACACTCAAATCACTGTACCTTATGGTAGGTCTTTTTGAAAAAATTATTGACACCTTTAGTTGACATGGGTGTTGCTCACATTTAGTCCTAATTCATACAATTATACCATGGAATAATCTTCTATTCTTATATGTTTAAGGATTTCATCATTGTCTTCTACAAAGATTTTTCCCCCTAGACTTTCCACTTAAGCCTCTCCAATGAATATTTTAATAATATTTCAAAATAAGAGTTAATGAATTTTAAATTCTTGAAACAGGTTTTCTGTAGGTTTTCCTCAGCTGTCACACAATTTTATTACCATACTCAGATTAATATCTCCAGTGTTTGTTTATCTTATGTAGATAAACAGGACCACCCCCCCCCATTTTCCTAACAAAACTCAATAAGCATATTATATGAATGCCATTTTTTCTTTAAAATAGTCACTTTTTCAAGAGATAAGGGTGGATCACCTCTTCATTATATGACCAGTTACTGCAGTTAAATCCTAAGTTTTATTGTACCACCATTGGGAAGAAAAGACAATACTTTCTTGAAGACTCGTGACATTCCTAGGAACTATGGGACACAATAACTACAATGAATAATTTAATCGAAGGGAAGGATGCTCCTTTCACCTTTCTTCTGTTTCAAAACCATTTCTTCTCAATCCAGTTGTTCCTAAAGGCATTTCATGGTAGGAGGCCCTTTCCTGAACCCTCTGCATGTTAGCCTTTTTCCCAAAAAATATCCCTTACTTATTCCATTCATTAATACTGCTTGCTTTTAAGAGGCAAAGTTTAGGAAAATTGTTGCAACTGTCAAAGATTTTTATGTTTGGAAAAGTGCAAGGATAACTAATTTGTCAATATCAGATAAACAGTCACATTGGATAGCTTTAGTGCAGATACTAATTTTTTTTTCCTTTAAAGAGTAAAGTTAGAGTGTGAAAATAATAACATCTCCCCATCTATAAATTCACATTATTGTTACAAAACAACAAAAATCAGCATTCCAAAAGACAACCCAATAAGATCTGTGGATCTTTATATAATAATTCAAATAACTAATCACATATGATTTTGTTAAATCATGTCAGAATAAAAATATATTCACATATTGAGGCTAAAATAATTCAATATAAAAGCCTCAATATGTGAATTCAATTGGCTTCTTCAAGAAAATCATTATACAGATTTATAAAAGATGAACTTAAATGAAATAGCCATTGTACTTACTCTTCTGAGACTTAACAATAGCTTGAACTGATTCTTTAACAAGAGTGCTAATGGCTAATTTGATGAAGATCACCCCAGAGCAAAAGTTTATGAGTGATTTTCTTGACTTGGTATAGGGCCACCCCTACTTTCTATGATTGTTGCTTGGAGAAATCCTAGAATTCTTCACATTTATTTGTACTAAGGATTGAACTTAGGGACACTTAAACACTGAGCCACCTCTCCAGCCCTTTTTTATATTTTATTTTGAGACAGGGTCTCACTAAGTTACTTAAGACCTCAATAAGTTGCTGAGGCTTGCAACTTTCGATCCTTCTGCCTCAGCCTCTGGAGCCACTGAGATTATATGTGTGCATCACCATGCCTGGCTTCTTCAAGGTTTTCATCTCCAACAAATTGGGAAGATTTTCTAACAAAGAACTTTAGTCCCCTTTTTACATGAGAAATATTTTCTACTTCTCTTTGGGTTGAAAATAAAATATTGTTTACAATACTTTCCTCTATTGGTTTCAAGGCATTGGTATTATGACTTCTCTGGATGGGGTGAGGGCCTTTTACACTATTAAGATTTGCATTTGATTTATCTGCTGAACCTGAATTTAAATAAATAAATGACTGTGTCCTTGGTGACCCACGTTCAAACATTACTAATGAGACTTCTTTGTAATGAACTTGGGCAAAAATCCTGAAAGATGCTTCAGTGGGGGCAGTGTCCTCAGGGACACAAAGATGCAATCACAGCCACAATTGCAGGTCAAGATATAATAGTTAAAAAACAGGGGTCATGAACCTGTCTCGTCTACATTTTTTCCTTACTAAGAATGAAAGTTGAAAGATCACAAGGTGAACCTACCTGCTAATTTTTCTCAAACATTAAAAAAGACAATAGACGAGAAAACAATATTGGAAAACTCAAAGCAAGTGATAATTTTTAAAATACTTTCAAGTAATATAAGGCTACACAAATATTTTAAAAAATAAAATATTATTTCTATTATTTACCTTTGTAACTTGCTTTTTTATCCCACTTGATCACATGATGCTACATATGGATTTTGGAATATCCTTTAGGATTTTTAAAACTTTATTATTAGTTTTAAATACATGTGCAATTATCATTATTTTTTTAAATAGCTTCACCATAATCAATTGTATAATTGCATCATTTTAAACATTTAGTTTGCTGGGATATTTTTAAAAGTAACAATTGCTAGAGAAAATATACCTAGATAAATTTTTAAAGGTGGAATTTCAGAATAAAAATAAATTCACATATTGAGGCTTTTATATTGAATTATTAAAGTGGCCTCAAAAAAGTTAAACAATATTATACAGTTGAATTTTATTTATGACCTAGCTATATAACACATTTAATCTAATACTTATGTCTATGTCTAGTGATCACATATGATGTGAGAATTTCTTCATCAGTTTATCATTTGTTTTAACTTTTTGTGTATGTTGTTATGATGTATAAAAACTCATGTTTTGGATTTTTTTTCTATTTTTCTAAACAGACCTTATGTTTTCATATTAATTTCTATGTCTGATACCCTTCTATGTCCTAAGTCTATGTCATGTTATTTTCTATGTTTTGATCTTTCCTTTGTCTTTTTACTGAGAAAAATATTTTAATTATTAAATTGACCTTTTTACCTACATATAGTTTGGTGGCACCTAAGCAGAATTTATCTATGTCACTCTTGTGTTTTCGTACTTGTTATCCTTTAAAATACTTAATATAAATACTTAAAACTTAAATGATTTCTAAGGTAAAGGGGGGGAATAATGTAAATTAAATCATATTTTGAAATTAAGTATAATATATAAAAATTTGTAGACTATAGCTAATGCATTATTGAACACAAAATGTATATTTTAAATCCATGTTTTAGAAAATGACAGTAGAAAACCCAGCAATATAAGTATCTATATTAAGAAGATACAAAAGA